ATCTTGATATCTCTGGAAGTGGAATTTCAGATAGCATTCCAGAGTGGTTTTGGAACCTATCTTCTAGGGTAGTTTATGTGAATCTTTCTTCCAACCATATCTATGGAAATTTGCCAGATTTGTCCACAAAATTTTCTTATTCTCTTCGCCCTGGGATAGATTTGAGTAAAAACAAGTTGGAGGGTCCATTGCCAGTATTACCTGTTAATGTCACATCCATAAACCTGTCAGAAAATATGTTCTCTGGGTCAATTTCTTCTCTCTGTACTATAAATGGTGGGACAATTCAGTTCCTTGATGTTTCGCACAATCAACTATCAGGAGAGTTTCCTGATTGCATGACACAATGGCCAAGATTAGTGATTCTGAATTTGGCTAATAATCATTTATTTGGGAAAATTCCAAACTCTATTGGATCATTGTATCATCTTGAATCGTTGGATTTGCAAAACAACAATTTTTCTGGAGAAATACCATCGTCTCTAGGAAGTTGCAGTGCCTTGCAATTTTTGAACTTAAATTACAATAGCTTCTTTGGAAAAATACCAACTTGGATTGGAGAAAGGCTAAGTAAACTAATTTTCCTTCTCCTGAGGTCCAATAATTTCAGTGGAGACATCCCCTTGAAGCTATGCTGGTTGAAAAATATTACGGTGCTAGACCTTTCCAACAACAATCTATCTGGAAACATACCATCGTGCATCCAGAATCTGACCACATTAGCTCAAAAGGAGAGTTCAGCCATTGATTATTCTTTTGCAGTTTCATATACTGATGGTAATGGCTATTACGAAGGATTCTATGTTGACAAAGCATCTGTAATGTGGAAAGGAATGGAGCGTGATTATGAGAATGGAAATCTCAAGACTCTAAAGATTATTGATCTTTCAAGCAACAAATTAACAGGAAAGATTCCAGTCCAGGTATCTGTTCTCTCGGAACTGGTTCAATTGAACTTATCAAGAAATCAGTTGACGGGCTGGATTCCTTCAAAGATTGGGCAGATGAGACAGTTAGAATCACTGGATCTGTCACATAACCAGCTTTCAGGTCATCTTCCTGGGAGCATGTCCCAATTAAATTTCCTCAGCACTTTGAATCTATCGTACAACAACTTTTCAGGGAGAATCCCATTATCAACCCAAATGCAGTCCTTTAATGCATCTGCATTTGTTGGTAATCCCTCACTCTGTGGACTTCCTCTGACACCAACTTGCCCGGGAGATGAAAAATCAAAGAGCGAATCAACAGATAGTGGTGGCAAAGACAATCAAGAAGACAGAGCTGAATTTTGGAAATCATTTAAACCGGGTATCGAACTTGGAGCGGCCATCGGCTTTTTGGGAGTTCTGGCTGTGAAGTTAGATCATCCATGGAAACATCTCTGTTTCCTGTTGTTCAACAACGTGAAGGTCCGCCTTAGCAACTTGAAGGACTGCCTTTATTTACTTGTAGCAACAGTTGGTTTGCTGGTGAGAGAGCATGTATCCAGATTGGGAAGAAAGTTGAAGTTGTTCGAGCCATCAGTCTCTTCCTAGAAGCCGGTAAAGGTCGATACACATTTATTCTAATTTTGTATGGCATCTTCATAACTTGATCATGAAAAAAAAAAGAATAACAGAGCAAATAACCTCTTATTTGTTGTTTTTCAGGTTCAAGATGTTTCATGTTGCAAAGTGAACTTCCAGGATGTCTTCTCCTCTTTCCGGATCGATAAGTCCAAGCTGAGCAGGGCATTGTTTCTTTGTGTCTGGTTGAAATGTCTGTTTAAATTAAATGGTTTGCGCTTGTTTTTCTATCATCTATTTTGTAATAATTTGCTTGAAACTGATATGCAATATGGATTTGTATTCTGTAATTTAACAAAGTTTGTAATCTGGAGACAAACAGAAACTCAGAAAGTTGGTTTGTGTAAACCCTAATTTATAGGTTTAATGTTAATTTTAAAATATTATCTTTAATTAATCAAATGGTCAAGAGATGTAGGGTAGGATTAAAACAATCCAGCCAAACCTCACCCACTTCCTCTGTCCCTCTGCCCAAATTAGCGTTTTTGTATTTCTTCACAAAATTTCCGGGAAGAGCAGTGCTAGGGGCACTCGCCTCCTGTACTTTCCGGCCAACACTCTCCCTTTCATTGGGCCACGAAAGGTTGTTTAAGCTCTGGAGTGCAACCTCTTGCCGAACTAAAATAACGTGGCCCAATGAAAGGGGGAGTGTTGGCCGGAGAGTGCAGGAGGCGAGTGCCCCTAGCACTGCTCTTTCCGGGAATGGTCAAGGGATGTAGGACCGGAGATTCGCGTTGCCAATGAAGCGGGTAACTTTTAGTTCTCACTTCCCCTGTTTCTTCATCCCAATAATTTCAATAAACTTGTGGCTTTTCAACTCGCCTTCAGATTTTTGAGTTAAAATGGCTGCTGGGTCCGCATCGAAGGTAAGCTCTTGTTTTATCTGTGTGGTGGGTATGTGCTGCTTCTGTTTATTTTTCGAGTTTGATATTTCAATGGAAACAACGATGCAAGCAAATCACTTCAAGTGAATTGTGTAATTAGAAAATAATAATGAATTATTTGCTTGTTCCTTTAATCTTTAGAGAATCTAATTACTAAAGTGGATAATCAAGTAACTGCCATGCCTTCTTTTGTCTTCCATTTCTTTTGCACACAGCGACCATTTTTGGTGCTACGTGTAACAGGCATGCCAATAACAAGTGCAAGTTACAGTACTATAAAGTGGGTTTTGATTTTGTTTGTGCAATTCCATATATATTTTTTCTGATAGGTTTTGATTTAAGGGGTTGCTGTTTACAACCGAAGTTTAAGTGTTTTCTTAGAGCATTTTCGATGGGTTTTGACAACTTTGCATCAAATCAATGCTTCCTGCAAACAACATCTATAAATGAAGGCATTAGTCTTCTAATACTAATTTGATGTTTGCTTTGGCCTAACGATGTGATTCATTCTTGAAAAAAGAGAATGTTGATTCATTTAATTCTGTCTGACTTCTATTCTTAAGAGGAGCAGGCAAGGCAATACACCAATGCTCTAACAGTAATTCATTTCCCTTTTTATCTTTATATATCTTTTATTCTTCTGCATTTGATGGTAATTCTGCTCTATATAAGTGCCCTCCAAAACGAATATGTCAGGGAGATGAAAAACACACAGATGGTGGTGGCAAAGAAAATCATGATGACCTAGATTAATTCTGGAAAGGGTTTAACACAGGATGGAACATTGGGCAGATGAGAAAATTATCAAGAAATCAGTTTCATGCTGCCGAGTGAACTTCCAGGATGTCTTCTCCTCTTTCCGCATCAATAAGTCCAAGCTGAGCAGGGCATTGTTTCTTCCTTTATTTTATAACAGTGTCTGGTTGTAAGGTTGTTTAAATAAAATGCTTTGCGCTTTTTTTTTCTATCTTCTATTTTGTAATAATTTGCTTGAAACTGATATGCAATATGGATTTGTATTCTGTTATTTAACCAAGTCTGTAATCTGGAGAGAGACGGAAACTCAGAAAGTCAGTGCGTGTAAACCCTAATTTATAGGTTTTATGTTAATTTTAAAATATTATCTTTAATTAATCAAATGCTCAACTGATGTGGGGTAGGATTAAAAACATCCAGGCACCCCTCATCCACTTCCTCTGTTCCTATATTTTCACAAAATTTCCGGAATGGTCAAGAGATGTAGGGCTGGAGATACGCGTCGCCAATGAAGCAGGTAATTTCTAGTTCTCAGTTCCCCTGTTTCTTCATCCCAAAAATTCCAATCGCATATCACTAAACTACATAGATGGTCGGTTCTGTTTTCTGTGAATAATTTCAATAAACTCGTGGCTTTTCAACCCATCTTCAGGTTTTTGAGTTAAAATGGCTGCGGAGTCCACATCAAAGGTAAGCTCTTGTTTTGTCTGTGTATTGGGTATGTGCTGCTTCTGTTTCTTTCGAGTTTAATATTTCAATGGAAACAACAATGCAAGCAAATCACTTCAAGTGAATTGTGAAATTAGAAAACAATAATGAATTATTTGCCTGTTCTTTTAATCTTTAGAGAATCTAATTACTAAAGTGGATAATCCAGTAGCTGTTA